AAAAAAAGAGTCGATGAAAAGTTAATTTATTAACTCTATCACAACGTAAGGCTAAGGTCAAGAGTTCAAAGTTAACTGAAGAATATATACATGTAGTATAATTGCTTCTCCACATTTTCAGGAATTGACTGGATGACCTTAAGTCAGGATTTCGGATTACAGAAACAGAATGCTATAAAGTGCAACATGTTTAATCCAAAATGGTTTAAATGGACTAAATAAACAATTGATTACTGAAAATAAATCTGAAAATTAAAAGATTATTATTTATAATTATTCTTTTAAAGAAAATATAAAAGATTATGGTGTGCAGAGAAAGTGCGGGCTAATTATTTTTTTTTTAAATAACTTTTTCAATTATCAATTTATATTAAAGCTCAAACATTATTTCATATACTTGTAATTGATTGATACACAATGAAGAATTTCAAAAATATGTATGTATACATGAACACAAACCATTCACAGCAACATATCTAAATAATTTGATTATTGAGCTCATAAAATTACAATACCAGCAGAATAATGACAACAAAAGTAAAATGAGGCCATACATGTAAGTAATAAGAGTTCCTGTCATTCAGATTTTCAACTTGATTGCAGGCCCGTAAGAGGCAATTTCAGTCGGAAGAAGGGGGTTGAGAGAGAGAGGGGGGGGGGGGAGGGGGCACAACCATACATTCTCAGTGAAAACTACCAAAAATTTCTAGAAAGCAAAATAAGGACAAAGGGTCATTAGACATATTTTCTGAGGGGGCACAAGCATATAGTAGCTATGTTTTTATAGAATTCTATATATTGGCAAAATATTGGGGGGGGGGGGGGGGGCAAATGTTGGTCATATTGTGAAAAATAATTTCTATATTTTCTATGAAATACTCAAGAGCCATTAGCAGGAATAGTAGGGCAATGACATACTTAAGTGAATAATTACATAGATGTACAATAGGTGGTTTTTCACTTTTATATCAGTCAATATTTTTGTCATCCAAGTAAACGTTATCCTTAAGCCTTGAAAATAATAATAATAGACACTTTTGACATAGATTTCTTTAATTTTTTTGTCAATTTTATAAAAATTCAATAATTGTAACAAAGGATGGAATTATCATTTTACATGCAATGAGACTACTATTTATACACTTTTTACCTTTTATTTAAGAATGTACATTATTAAAATCTTTTTTTTAATTATTTGAAGCATATTCATAGTAGTGCATAGTGGACCCATGTTATTATGCATGAATAACTTCAGGATAAGTGGTCAAAACTTCCCTCAGGTATAATACTAGGCAAGACTAGGATTTTCTTCAGATACTGTAAGACTTCACTATTTCTTTGATGTTCTTTGGGAGAATAACAGCAATGTTTGTCATTATATTGTTGTAGTATAATTTAGCAGGCTTAGTGAAGGTGTCCAGACGGTATGTCCCATTCTCTGAAAACTCTCACTAATTTTCATCAGATACTCATTCATTTGCTGAATGTTATGACTGGTCATGACTAAATGTAAAACTCTGGCTTCTTGAGTTCTGTAATAGACAATACAAGTATTTAGATTACCGGGTAGATAATACAAGACTTAAGTTAACCAGAAATCTCTGTCAAGACTGTAGCTCTACTGGTTTGTACTTATAATAAAGAAAAGAGAAAACTAGCGGTTGGGACATTCACAAAAGCAATCAATAGAATAATGACAAAAACCGATACACAGAATTATTTATCTTAGTGTAGTTTACTTGTGTGCCAAGTCATATTGAAATCAGACCAAAACTGTAGGAGGAGTAGCATTTTGAAAAACTATTTACAGATGGACAAACATACAGACAGACAAACAGACGACGGACACATTACTATCACATATGAATATAAGCTCCTCTGGTCTTTGACCAGTAGAGCAAAAAATGATTAAAGGAACCAATTGGATCATGAAAACAGTTACACTTGTACATGTAACAGGTCATACATCCTCTCTACACCAGTGTAAAATGATTTTTGGACTTTGCGAAAATTATATTGAATAAAGATGTAAATAATTTCATTTTCAATACATGATACATGGCATTTAACCCCAGGAAAAAATGTTCAAAACAACACAGTATCAGTAGAAATAATTGCTATTTACTTCTATGGAAAAGATACATGTAAACAACATGTTTATAATTTGGAATTTAAACTATCTTGCCCTTTTAAGTGTAGAGAGGTTTCTTTAGGAAAGTGGTACAAACTCTTGTCAAAATTTTTGAAAATAACAACTTGGGTCGTGTTTTAATGAATAAAATGAATAAGTTTTACAGTGTAGTTTTTTTTTAATTTCTTATTCAAAGTTGCACAAAAATGGAATCTGAAGTGAAAAATATTTGTATAGAATAATTAGGATGATTTCAGATGGGTAGAAATTGGAACATCACAGAACGTTACATGCCTTGAAAAGTGGGTCAATAATAGTAGTTACTGTATATATGGAACATGAAAGGTGTATCCTCTATCCTTCAAAATTTATTACCAATGTCTAATTTCTTGAAAGATGTAGAAGTCAAGGCCATTGGGTCAAAATTATAGTACATGGACACTATACCTCTTTATAATTTGGTTTTAATACAATGTTGAAGGCTCCATGAATGATCTAAATATCCTCCCCTTCATTGTGATGCCCCTCACTTGGTCACACAGCAGCATGCTACAATAAATTGTATATTTTTCATAAAAATAGTTCAATTCCTTACAGGTACTAATTAAAGCACAATTATATAAGAATGAGTTGTTAATTTTTTTTGCCATTCACCACATATTTAACGGTACTTTTTATTTAGTTTTGTATGTTGACAGGTCTAAAATAAATAACTGTTTACAATAATTCAAATTGGACAAACTTTTTAATTAATATCTTGTTAAACTTTAAATGCATACATCATTATAGAGTGTTCAAGATGAACAAGGAAAATGAAATCTACAAGGTCAAGTCCAAAGATTATTTCTTATTCTACCCACATAGCTATTAAGACCTACATATGTAGATAGAAATGCTTTAGTATAGTCTTTGGACTGTACCTTTTTACATTCATTTCGATTAAATTCTTTTTTAATAATTTCATCTACTCATAACTCTAAGAACAAATATTATATTGTGTATCAGAAATTGTAGATACTTACATTGTACGTGTACATGTATGGTGTAGGCCTATCACACTGGTAGCGTTGCACCAGCTTTACCAATCAAATGACCTGCTTTCAAATTTTCACATGTTCTGTTTGGAGGGGACTTCTTGGTCCATCTCCTCTGGTGTTTTCAATATGCAGGTGTGAACTTAGAAGATTTGGCATTTGACAAAACTTCCTTCTTCACCTCTTTGTATTTTATTTTGAAGAAAAGTTAAAATAACGTCCACACTCGATAGTCATTCACTGTATTTACTAAATAATTTAGCCAGTGTAACACATGGCATACGACCTACTTTAGACAATATGGCCATTGCTGAAACTCGTGAGTTGTTGAATGTCTTCAGAACAAACAATATCACATCTGCCAAGGAAGCTATACTGTATAATCTAAGCATTTTTTTTATAAAAAAAATCATTAAAACACATGGCTTGTGAAAAGGAACTCCAAACCAGCAAAACTTCATGCTTACAAATACTTTTGTTTTTACCTCCTCTCACTGTCGGAACTAGAGAGTTCTACAAAGGGAGATAATATTTTTGTGAAATGCTAGTTTTTTTCAATTTTCAATTACGTTTTATTTTTTTTAAATCAAAAAACACACACCCAGAATAATTATAAATAAATAATTAAGTATGTTTGCTTTCAAAATATTGTTAATATTTTATAATCCTATCTTGGAATTTTTCATAAAATGGCACTGAAATTATGGTTATTTATCATATTGGTTAAGGGTTAAAAATGGGAGGAAATTAAATTTCTTCAAAATAAAAAGGGGTGTTAATGATAAAGCAAAATAATTTTTTAACCTTACTTCACACCTTGTTTTCACAATTTAATGCACTTAATCCAACCATAGTGCATTATTTATTTTGATTTTTTTTTGTCAAATTAGGAGAAAACTGACATTTTCAAACATGGCGGTAGCCACAAAATGTGTTAGGGGGCCATAACCTGGAGGATAGGTCACATCCCAAAATTTTAAATATACCTAATAAATCTCATACACATTCATAATTTTTTCATATATATTTTATTAAAATCTGTGATATTCGTTTGAAGGGCATCCGTGGTCCTTACAGAGAATGACTCTTAATGTCTTCTTCACTATTTTGTTAAAATATTTTCTGTACATTACGTATTTAATTGACACTGCTGTATATTTGTATGCAAGTACATCGGAGGGTAATGTTGGGGGTCTTAATAAATCGATCTAGTGCAAGGGCATACACTCTATGGATCAAAGATAGCTTTTAAATTTCAACTATAGAACTATTAAGGTATCTGAAAAGTGCTGCAATCCTGATGAAATCTTAAAACAATTTAATTATATCAATATTTCATATATTAATATATGACCAGCAAAAAATATAGCATTCGGTCATACAAGTATAATTTTAGCAATGAAATTGCAAAATTTAGACATGATCGCAGCACTTTTTAGAAACTACAATGCGTGTTGAAAATATTTATACACTAAACTTGGAAATTTAACTTGGTTATGCCATTGCACTAGTGAAATTTATATGTAACATCAATACTTCAAGTCAATGTGCTAAAATCGCGTGACTGCCGCATCACGTGACTAGTCTAAATATATAATATATTCGTCTTCGTTATGTAGTTATTAATCGTAATAACAATTATTCGATATAAAAAATGTACTAAAAATAATCGCCATCCCGATTACGAATACATTTTTATATACAAAATTTAGTCGATATTTCCATTGCGCATTTTAACTGTACTGCGTATTTGACATCTGATATCAGGAAGCTTCCTTTGCCATAAATGTATTGTTATTAAAGTGTAAGTAGTATTATATCTTAAATAAGACTGACGAAAAGTAATATTACCCCCTATTTTTTTAACTGAACACTTCTTTCTTCATTCTTAAAATTATTTTGTATGATAAATATATTATTTAAAGTATTACGTTGTACAATAACCAAGCTGGGCAGAAAGGAACGTGTACATGTAAGTAATTTTCTTTGTTAAGGAAAATAATAGGAATAGTTTTCCTAAAACCTTTTAATTCAACTTGGTTTTAATAATAGTTTTTAACTATCGTCGCTGTATCTGATATATAAACTAAGGGAAAGTAATTACGTTACCAATAAAGAACAGGCACCACAGAGTCTGTCATATCTGCTTCATTTTGGATACTCTATTGACTAAATACGACGAAGGCTAATAAACAACTAAATTGTGTTTTAATCGAGATGACGTAAGCTTTTCCCTCGTCTACTTTCCTTATTTATGTAGTTATTTTCCGCTATCACCTGCAAATGGTGTTTATATATCCCGGCATATATGCTTTGCAACAATATATTCAAGAAAATGTGTGAATCAGATTTGGATACTAAAATATTCCAAGGAACTTTTAGACAATTTGAAATCACAAGATTTTACCACAATTTACGACTTAAAAACTTCGGACTTTTAAATTTTATACATAATCATTCTCCACGATTATTAAAAGTCAGGCTTTTAGCTCACCTGAGCCAAAAGCTCAAGTGAGCTTTTCTGATCACAACTTGTCCGTTATCTGTCGTTGTTTTCGTTGTCGTCATTGTCGCCGTCGTTGTCGATGTTGTAAACTTTTACATTTTCAACTTCTTCTCAAGAACTGCTGGGCCAATTTCAACCAAACTTGGGACAAAATACCCTTGGGTGAAGGGGATTCAAGTTTTATCAAATGAAGGGACACGCTCTAATTCAAGGGGAGATAATTGGGAATTTTTGAAAATTTGGTGGTATCTTTTAAAAATCTTCTACTCAAGAACCACTGGGCCAGGAAAGATGAAACTTATGGGAAAACATCTTAAGGTATTGTATATTCAAGTTTGTTCAAATCATGACCCCAGGGGGGTAGGGCGGGGTCACAATGGCCGACCAAATTTTACATAGAAATATATAGGAAATTCTTTCAAATATCTTCTTCTCAAGAATAACAAAGCCATTATTGATCAGATGTATATGGAAGCATCCTCAGGTAGTGTAGATTCAAGTTTGTTCAAATCATAATCCCCGGGGATGGGGCGGAGCCACAATGGCCGACCAAATTTTACATAGAAATATATAGGAATTTCTTTCAAAATCTTCTTCTCAAGAATAAAAATGCCATAATTGATCATATTTACATGGAAGCATCCTCAGGTAGGGTAGATTCAAGTTTGTTCAAATCATGACACCCGGAGGTAGGGCAAGGTTACAATGGCCCATAAAAGTTTTACATAGAAATATAAAGGAAAATTCTTTAATTTTTTTTTCATGAATAACAAAGCCATAATTGATCGTATTATATGGAAGCATCCTCAGGTAGTGTAGATTCAATTTTGTTTAAATGAAGACCCCGGGGGTATGGCGGGGCCACAATGACCGACCAAAGTTTCACATAGAAATATATAGGAAAATTCTTTCAAAATCTTCTTCTCAAGAACAACAAAGCCATAATTGATCATATTTATATGAAAGCATTCTCAGGTTGTGTAGATTCAAGTTTGTTCAAATAATGACCCCCGGGGGTAGGGCGGGGCCACAATGGCCGACTTAAAATTTACAAAGAAATAAATAGAAAAATTCTTCAAATATCTTCTTCTCAAGAACAACAAAGCCATAATTGATCATATTTATATGGAAGCATCCTCCGGTAGTGTAGATTCAAGATCCAATCATGACACCCGGGGGTAGGGCGGGGCCACAATGGCCAATCAAAGTTTAACGTAGACATATATAGGAAAATTCTTCAAAAATCATCTTATCAAGAAAAGCAAAGCCATGATTGGTCATGGGACTACTTTTGGATATAAACTATTCAATAATAATCCAATTTCTACTTTTTCCCAGGCCAGTGCTCAGGTGAGCGATGTGGCCCATGGGCCTCTTGTTCATATCATTGACAGTTGCTTTTTAATTAAAAATGGAACTCGTAAACTTTCTTACATCGGTGATTTGCAAAATTATTTTGTTAAACACACTCTGATTGCAAACTCAAGTATTTAAAGTTGACAGGATCTATGTGGTTTTTGAAGACCAGGTCCTCCAAAAAATCTATTGAAATTCCCATGGTTTCTAATTGCCATCTGTATTAGCAAACCTTTTTTATGAATATTCGAATATATTGGAATATTTGATAAAATGAATACATCTTGTATTATTCAATATAATTTATATCTTCACTCTCCTGTCAAGTAGTATAGAGTTTATGTCATTATTTTGGAATAAAACCTCAGGTTCGGTAAATACACTGCAATTATATCTTTTAAAATATTGAATAGTATAATGATTGTTTTTAAAAGATTCTTTAGTATGTTCCAGATTAATTGATCGTCTTACTAAAATCTACACTGATAACTCCTTATAATTTATACGAAGCAGAATAATTATCAAACAGTGAAGTATTAAAAGCAATTACGTTTTGCTAATTATGATTTCCTGATAATGATTTTAATGCTATTTACATAAACAAGGGGTCCGTGTTTTTACAGTAAACTAAAGTCCTTACAACAATACAAGCTGATTGTAAGTACTGGAAACTATTACACTACTAATTAAGCGAACAAATAAATAAATTACTCTAATAGGTACACTCTTCACTCCTGTAAGGTAATCCAAGAAGAGTGTTTTTTTTTTAATTTTGTACAAACTTGATTCAATTTCTGATAAAATTTGCCAGGTTTTCTCTCTTTTTAATGCTTGTATACTTTAAATATATATATCGATATAAATCGATATGATCCCCATAGAATAATGACCGGAGTCATTTTTCAACAATTTATAACAGGTGAAAGGGAAAAATATGCTGTATATTATAATTGTTCTTTCTTCGAGTAATTTATGCAATTTAATTTGTTCGAATAGATTTGATCTTTGTACTTCTTAGCACGTAGGGGTTCCTCATTTTCTCTTCTGAAATATTTACAAATAAGTTTTAAGCAATTAGTGATCAATTGGTATAAAAAAGTCGCAAAAACGACACAATCATTTACAATATATTTACATCCACTGAATTTGATCTACTTTACTTCATAAGAAAACCATTGTCGTTTATCAGTTTATCAGTCACTAAACACTGCTAAGCATATCACCTCTGGAGCAGTGGCTGTTCCATTCTCTTCCCTTAATTAAACTTACAAGGACGTTTATCAAAATATGCCATAATGTCATCTACTAATTTCTACATTAATTTATTCTTTTACAAATTAAAACAAATGTCTTTTTAATGCGCGTTAGTTTGGTAAATAACATTGCAGCTATTAAAAAAAATACATAACACGGATGTTACATTTTTCTGCAACAAGAAAGAATTTTTTGGCCAGTTTATTATCCTTAACGTTTGTTTTTTCTATTGCTAGAGAACAAAGATTACGAGATAAGGTTGATAGAGAATTCTCTAATCTGCATACTTCTATCCATGTACTGTAGTATAGATTATTAGTCTCGATGATTTCCAAATAGCCCTTTTCTATCTTAACATTATATGACTTGACGAAAAATCCTCTAATGTTTTCGGATGGAGCCCCTTAAATGTTAAAGCCCAACTGTAAAGTCAAATATCACAATAAATTAGTATTCAGATAATGACATGACCTTTCTTTTGCTTAATGGCACCTTATCCCACCTCCTAATTTTGAAGTCCGTGTTTGATCTGCTTCAAATATTTTGTTTGATAGGACTTATGAGATTAAAACTATTCGCTATCTTCCTAACTCATTTTAAGCCCATGCAATTAAACCTACGAGAGGTATCAAAAAGTTCGTTGACTAGCCACATAAAATTAAAACCGCTTTATGCACATCAATGAATTGTTATATATCCAATAACCATCGTATTTTCTATCTATAGAATAAACCTCAACTCTTAAATTTTATTTTGTGATAAATTAGTAATGTTTTTGTAAGCAATGCTACAGTATGTCCAAGCGGCGCAACCTCGAACACTACGGTTTTTTTTTTTTCGATCTAAGTGTAACTGCGAAAAACTCTTTTGATATGAACATTTGACAACCAAAAATCCTATTAAGTCAGGTTTGAGTTAGGATACAAGATATGTAACTTTTACTTCATTCTAGATGTTCTATGAATAGTTATTCGTAAATTTATCGTAAATTTTACGTGGAGTGTCCAAACAAATAGGCTTTGAATGTGACGTTAAAAGGGGGGATGGGTTTCCTTTTTCAACATTCTATAAAGTTCTTCTAGTAAAAAAACTTATGCATAGCAAGAAAATATTTTAACTGGAGAAATTAAATGCATCCAGAGTACATGTTTTTTAAAGGCAAAAGAGGGTCAGAGAGGAAAGGGTGCACAAGTAATATCGATCTGTAATCAAGGTGTGAAACATCAATCACGTCAAAAAAAAAAAAGACTTCGATTATGTGTTGCAGAAATTAAACCCCAAAAAGCAAATTATGTTTGCACAATCAAGCAAGGATCCCTCCAAATGTATTAATGCATTTGCAATATAACATGCATTGAAAGCCGCTGTTCATGACATTGTGAAATCATATAAATAAGACGGATTTAAGTCCTTATTTAGCTCCAGGCCTAGGGAATCTCATGAAAATAAGTGTATGGAGTAGAAGAAGCCGACATTGAAAAACAATGGCGTTGTCAGATGTCACGAATCTAAACGGTGACGGCGCTAGGTGATCATATAATTTACTTTTTATTTAATGATAATTGGCAGCAAATGAAGATATCAAGCTAAATTTTTCAACATTTCTTAATTTTTTGTTGTTTTATGTTCCTTATAAATTTTGAAAGTACAGACTACATAGTATCAATTTTAAAGCCTCAGTCCACGAACTTTTTGATAACCCCTCGTACTATGAGGAATCTCTATAAATGAAAAGAGCCCAAATTATTTCAGTTCACATAATGAACGAACGTGATCTATCTATTTTCCTAGGTGTTTCAGATTCTTCTTTGTTTCAGGGATATATATTTCCAGAACTAGCATGCTAGGTTTTGTCCTACATGTACTTGAAATATAACGTTACCCATTTTCCTTCTATTGTAGATAATATTCTTTGAAATATTTATCACGAACTTCAATAAATACTACGATTTTGTGAAACCTGCAAGGACAACTGTAAATGACAATGTGGTAAATCTCTCTCTCTCTCTCTCTCTCTCTCTCTCTCTCTCTCTCTCTCTCTCTCTCTCTCGAGAAAAACAGGTCTGCACAAAATATATCTTTTAAAGAAATAAAACGACAAGGAATATTATATAAATAATGCATGTAGTTGAGTGTAACATTGACATTTTTCACTCAAAGAAAATCATTGTCAACCAAGGCGCAGCCGAGGTTGACAATGGTTTTTAGGGGTGAAAATGTTTAATGTTACACTCAACTACATGTAATATTTATTATATCATGCTGATTTTTTGAAAACAAATACATATAACAGTGAACCGTGCGCGCATAAATTCTACTCTGTCGCTATTTTTTGGAATATCACCCGTCGTCAAGCACTGATGACTGCTACTTCGCTTGAGTGAATGCCTTCATTATTCTTAGGGTAATAGTGTTTTTGAACAAATGTTTCTCGACCCATCAGATTCTACTTATTTACATGAAAGTATAATATAAGGAAATAAATTATCTATCATTAATACATTAAACATTCTAACAAGAAATGTATTTTCTAGGGATCCAACAGCTTTAATAATCGTGATTGCTGTTTTGGTGCATGGAATTCTGCTTCTAATCGCCTTCCTAGTTTGTTGTAGCCACGGAAGAACACAGACAAGGAATAGTATATTGTCAGGTATTTAAATACCTTATACGATAACATCACACTGACAGAAACATCAAGAAATAATTTTTCACAGCATTTTTTTTATACATAAATGGTTTTCCTCAATCATTTCTCTCTTGAAAACAACTTTATGATTATTCTTTTCTATTTCGTTTATTTATTATTTTTTTTTTAATTATTATTACTATGTATTTTTGGGGTTTTGTATTCAATAACCTTATTATATCCCACTTGAAATGTTTTATATATCGATGTTTTTCTGTAACAATTAAGGATATGGAGAAAACAGTATTCAATATCATGTACCTGTAAAATATGTCTTGCTCCAGTTGACCTTGAGCATGATTAATATTTATTCTCTTCACATTTAATTTTTCTGGAAGACAGGTTTGTTATTTTATTAATGTCATTAAACAATTACGCTTACATGTTTTAGATGGTCAAAGAGCCAGAACACCCAACTCTAACAGAATAAATTTGTCAACAATACCAGATGTTACCTTACATTGTATGTTATTTACAAGCTTTTTTAACATGAGAAAGAAATTTTGAAAGAGCAATATGAAAGAACTTTATAGGATACAATATTTCTAAATAATATACTTTCAGTGAATCAAGCATCTTGTAGCCAGTCAAATGTCCGTATGTCACCGCTAATGTTAGATGGTATGCCTCCAACTGAATGTATTGATCAAAAACTTATATTTCTTTAAAAGAAATAACAAACATCATTAAAAATCAGAGAAAATTAGTATATTTTTTTACGCTTTTCCATATATTTTTAGGATATCATGTACATGTACCTAGACAGACAGAGACCCACTACAAGAAACAAACATCGTCAAATCCTCCAAGGAATATCCCGTCACCTACAGAAAATGTCGACCTTAACAATAGAGAAGAAACTAGAGATGCCCCGGAATCTCCTCCATCTCCTAGAAATAGAGAGCAGGAAGAACGCCATATTGTCCCAGCTGATTTAACTGAATCCTTCAATTTCTCAGAAGGTGGTTTTGAAGATTGTCCAGATGTGCCCCCTCCTTCTTATAAAAGTTTGTTTCAATAGTTTGACCAGCCGATGAATCCTTATTAAAAAGTGTGTAAATCTTGTTTTAAGTTAGATATGGCTTTCAGTGTCCATCACAACACGGAAAAAAGCAATTATCTTTTAGCACACGTAATTCTAAGTAAACTGATGATTCAGATAAATGTCTCTTCTCTTTTTTTCCTTTTTTACCTACATTGTACCCCACCCTCAAAATTTCAGACCCAAGGGTAGGGGACTTCGATGTCCCCGAACCCGATGTTTATTCGTAAAGTATTATATAGTAGGGCTAAAAATAGGAGAGCCATATCTCGGAAACATGAGATGGTACATGTACCATCACCAGTTTTTCATAGACGTAGTATCTGACCCCTATTACCCCATCATCAAAATTTCAGACCACACAGATATTTTAAAATTTTGAATTGCGAACTGCGTTCTAGAATGCAGTTCACTTTTGAATTATTCTTATGGATCCCTCTTTTTATCAATAATGACAAGTACACTGTATCCAGATTAAAAATCTTATCACCCTATACTTGCCCTGGCAACACTGACCTGGTAAACAGTACTTGGTTACAACGCACTTGAATCTCTGTACCTGGTTATACTAGACCTGGTAAACTGTACTTGGTAAAATGTCCTTGGTAACACAGTACCTGACTCTGCGTACCTAATACTACCGAACCTGGTAAATAGCGCTTGGTAAACTGGACCTGGTACCTAGTATTTTTGTCTTAATAACTTCTATCCCCTTACCGGCTGCCACCAAAATGTAACGTGTACCCTTGCGTTTGGGTTCTTATAGGGGATGAAATGTTCCTCTTACTCTAACTGAGTATTTGATCTAATGATTTAAATATTTACAATATAGCAATTTTTCTTTTGACCTATCTGGGTTATTCTTTCATTTCTTTAATCACAAAATATATACAAGCGTGGTTAAATTATGACTTGGTAACAAAGCACCGTGTACCTTGCCCCAGGTCCCTATTGATGGCGGATACAAGGAGATTCGTTCTTATGCAGATCAACAGCCCCCAGTATCTCGCCTCAATTCCCCGGATTTCTCGCCACTGGTGCAATGCATTCTAATTTCTATTATTTCACCTTTTCTTATTCTTACCCAAATTCTTCTACTGTTCTGCTTTGCAGCTCCGCAAATGACCCTGAAACTCTAAGCGCATTCTTATATATACCCCTTTTGAGCGAGTCTATTTCAACTCAGATGGGGGAGACAAGTCATTCCATTTAACCCTAATTCTTGGTCTCCTTAACGTTTATAGTTACCGCAAATAATTACAGAATTTCCAACGGTATGCATATGTGATTATGCATCGATAGCTTTTTTTTAAATGTAGGAATATCTATTAAGTAGAGATAATTCGGATGTTGCCGAAATCCATTTTAGTTAAATAATCTATGTTTTTGTTATATTATCTTATAGGCCCTCTAAGGTAGTTTCTTTTCATGTGAAAAGAAAAACATTCAATCTTTTGGAATACAAATAAGGATTACATGATTGTCAGAAGCAATTTTTTATTATTAAGGTCCAGAAAAAAGGTAATGACCTTGACCTTACCTTGTCTCTAATATATCAGTCAAATTTAATTTCACTGACACCATGACTTTAACTTTAAATTCAAAAATATGAGAGGAATCTTACCTTGATAATATTATTGAAACAAAAAATATTCTTCTCCAGATGCTTGTTCTAGTTAAACACAACCTGAGTCTCATTGCTAAAATCATTTTTTTTTCAATTACTATCCACTGTCCAATTTAATTTATCCTGCCTCCGGTAAAAATCGTGAAATTTAATTGGTCGAGAGCAATACTGCATTAAACGATATTATGCTGTCTACCCAGGCCACCTCATATTGCTAATGTGCCGCTTCCACGTGACCTACCCACCATACATTAAAATTTACCAACCACACATCAACAAAATACGGTTTGCACGTGACCCCGCATGGATCCTCATAACTGACGTCAAAGTGCGTCAGACGACATCAACACAAAATATGGATGAAGAACGATTTGAATCCCTAAGTGCAAGTGATATATCAAATTTAAGATCGGACCTAACTTCTAAAAGTACGCAGAAAGATAACAAAAAGGCCGCGCTAACTCTGAGAGAATATTTGGTGGAGAAAAAACAGCGAACTGACTTCGAAAACTTCGAAAAAGTAAGTCTAAATGAGGCCTTGTCACACTTTTATGTTGACTTGTGCAAAGCTGACGGAGACAAGTACAAAATAACAAGCTTTGAAGGAATTAGACATTCTCTGAATAGGTATTTACAGTCGCCCCCGTTAATAAAAGATTTGATATTGTGAAAGATGAAGATTTTAGAGAAGCGAACTTTAATTTTCGTGCAGTGATGGCTGTTCTGAAAAGAGAAGGAAAGGGGTTCGTAAACCACCATACAGTAATTACAGATGCTGATTTGAGAAAAATATACAATTCAGTGTACTTAAATACTGATAAACCTGTTGGATTACTTAACAAAGTTCAGATGGATGTCCGTTTGTATTTTTTCGGAAGGGGCTCTGAAAATATGCACAAAATGACTAAAAACTCCTTTTGTGTTCAAACTACAGGATATAAATTAGTTTTTAAAAAATGGATGGATTAACCAAAAATCACCGTGAAACCGACAAAGAAAACCTCGGCGGATATATGCCTGAAATTCCAGGGAATCCAATGTGCCCAGTAGCATCTTTTCAGAAGTATATCGAAAAACTGAATGGTAGGTGCGATTGCCTTTGGCAGAGACCTCGTGATACCTTTTCCGACACTGATTACCAGTGGTGTTATGTACCTATTGGAGAAAAAACCCTTTCCTCATTTATGTCAACGCTCAGTAAAGATTAACAACTGTTGCAGTACTACACTGATCACAGCATCAGGGCCACGGGGGCTACTCTCTTATAAAGGAATCGCTTTGACGCTGCACACATCATGTCTGTTACAGGTAAATCATTTCATTGAACATTTAGTTTATTTTTTCCAATTTTAATCTACATTAATTTCATAAATTTCATTTTAGAATTTTAATGTTTTCCAGGACATAAATCGGTATCTTCATTAGCTGTATACCAACGCGTCTGTGATTCAGAAAAGCTTGCCATTGGTCAATCAATTGCCATGCACGTGAATCAGGCAGTCCTACCTGCTCCACTAATATTGCCAGCCTTGCTTGCTCCACAATCTAGTACATGTACTGCCATTGTCCCTGCTTTTGACAAATGTGATGGTTTGTATTTTTAAAAAAAGGGGGTTAGTTTGTGTATTTTTAAATAACGTGTAAATGAAAAAAAAAACTATTAATTACAGATGAGGCCCTGCATGTGAAACAGATATCCCTGCCTCCTGTACCAGTCACACAAGTTTTGTCGGCCCCACATTCTAGCTCTGACCTTGGTCGTATTGTGGAAAAGTCTGATGGTTTGTATTTATAAAAATCATATTGAGATAATGAGATAACACTCTAAGAATTGCGAATTATAAAGGATTTTTTTTTTTTTACATTTTGTACAGATGAAGTCCTTGCTCTGCAACCATACCTGAGCGATATCATTTGTGATTATATTGACCTGCCAGAAACAAATACCCAGAAAGTATTGCAATCCTTACAAGCCACCGGGATTTTTAGTGGACTTAAAAACCCAAAAACCTTACTATAAACATCAACAAATAAAATATTAATATGGCATCAAAAGAAAATTGTCTATGTTTTTCAGTTCTGTTGTCTGTTGAAAAAAAATAAATTAAAGATTCAAAATAAAATTATTTAGTTTTAAGAAGAACCTTCGGAAGGATAAATTGTCTGCATAACTAATATTACCTCGACACCAATTTACACCTTGAGTGCGGTTTACAGACCTTATTGTCAGGGTCTTCCTGGTTTTTGAGCTCACTTAATCAGTTATTCTACCCAAAATTTGTCTGGTTTTATTGTATGAAAAAAATGTAGAAATATTTTTGCATACCTTATTCGTCAGCTTAATCCCCGTATGAATCACACATAATATTCATGCTTAATGCTTTTAAAATCCGATTTCTTGTACTTGTTTACATGTATTCTCGTTACGTTTCACTTTTACTCTCCTAAAACTGATCAACAGTCATATGATGCTACGAGTTTGGTATTTAACCCCAATGACAAATACAAAAATATTTATTCCACCCAGAAACAAACTTCTGCATGTTTTGATTTATTTCTACGACCCCAAATCAATCTTTAAATATAGATTTAAAGAAATTCTTTTTCTCTAAAATTCAAATCATATAGCTTATTGTGACGTCATATTATATAGGCAATTAGATTATACAATCAGAGGAATGTAATGAAATGGTTTTTTTTTTCAAAAACATTTTAGGTTATTGCCCATCTAGACAGACAGGGACCCACATCACAGCACAAACACCATTAGATCCTGCTATGCAGAACTTGTCACTTACAGAAAATATCGAGATGAATATTTATAGAGAAGAACCCAGAAATGCCCCGATATCCCCACCATCTCCTCGAAATACAGAACAGGAAGAGCGTCATATTCTCCCAGTCAATTTAAATGAGATCTCAAATTTCAAAGATGATGCTTCAAAAGATTGGACAGATGAGCCCCCTCCTTCCTATAGCAGTTTGTTTGTGTAGTTAGACCTGCCGTATTGTATTAAGTGTGCACATCTTGCTAAAAGGTTGATATTGTTTATATGCCTAAAATAAAGCAGAAATAAGCTGACATTTAAACACTGATTAGAATTATTTTTCCTCACTACGTATACTCACATGCATATTTTCCTAAGATGTACCCTTAACCAGGATTTTGAACAAAAGGACTCCCATTTACCATTCATTCATTAAATTTCACATTACTGTTAATAAGTACTTTGAACAATCTTTTTTCGGAGCTTAGCCACACGCACAACCCTAAATATCCTACTGTCTCCCTTATTCTGATGATGAAGCATCTCTGATTCAATGTATTCTATTGGTAATTTGAGGAGAAGTAATGATCTTATTCAATTCAAAAAGAAATGACGAACTAGGAGATTATTTTAGGGCAGTTACAGCCAAAAATAACCAGAAATTTTAATATGACTCATAAAACCATCATTACAGCTTCAAGATATTGCCACTACCAGTCCTTTGTCGGGTAATTCTGAGTTGGTTTGAACATGTGATTGATACTGTAACTGAAACATCATAACTACGTTCAGATTCAATGGAGGAGCATTAACAGCCGACTGGTCGTCTTGCGTGTAATTCTTGTTATAAATGTTACAAACAGACCAATCTGTAGACAATTCAGTTTCGTCTTGTAAGTTGAACGATGCAAGACGAAGGTTGTGCAAAAGTTCACGATTTGAAGACCCAGTCGCCTTGAATATTTAATCTTTCAAATAGTTCCGAGGTCTTTGAATATGGAAGCCGGATCAATGACCTCATGGTTCCTTTTGGTTCCTGCTGGAACATAGGGCCTCGGCAACATTTCTCCACCGCACTCTATTCTGGGATGCCTTTTTCAGTTGTTCCCAGGCGTGTCCACATTGCCTGATCTCCTCTTCATATGACTTTCGCCAAGTTTTCCTGGGACGCCCAACTCGCCGTTTGCCTTGTGGGTTCCACTCGAGTGAGTGGCGTGTAATGTCTCCTGGTGGTTTTCGGAGGGTATGTCACATCCATCGCCACATTCTGCGGGCTATATGTTAAGTGATTTGGTCTTGGTTTTTTTTTCCCACAGATCCACCAGTGGCTGTGACAATACTACCTAAGTATGTAATGGAGTCAATGACCTAACAAATGTAATTGTCGTGTGTTCTATGTGATATTTTATTTTTGTAAAACAACGTCATATGTCATGCTTCTAAATAGAGAATAGAATTGTAGATATTTTATGTTGAATTTCACACACATACTGCATTACACTACTACAAAGCATTTGTATTATGTTTGTTCCCCCAATCTCTTTGAATATTTTAAAGACATTTTTATGAGAGTGCATGAAATATATGGAGATAACGAACATTATTCAAGATCAAAAGTCTAATAAACAGTACAAAATAGGAGCAGAGCAAACAGTCTGTCCTCCAAAACATCGGAGCTAAGACCAAGTGCCATGGAGGAGTAAGCATTCTCTGCCGAACGGTTACACCCGCCGTGTGCTCCTTGTCAAGATCGAGAATAATGGAAAAATCCGTCGTCAATTCAGTGTATAAATAATGGAATAACAACTAGTATGAAAACGTCAGTCAGCATTTTACTCAATGATAAATTGAATTTGCTGACAAGGTCATAGTATCGACCATAGAACTTACGAAATGATGACTTAAAGCGAGACAGCTGACATTCTTTTTTCATCAACTTATTTGTCAATTATTTACCTCGTTCCAAAAATTGTTCATACGTGAACATGCTCTTGCGTATTGAATTAACGGAGACATATAAACTCTGTATGCGGGAGATGAAGGTATATTGAGGCATAAGTAAGGGAACATGACGATAGAAAAGTTTAAGTCGTCATAGAACTTCGTTATTAGATTGCCATTAATGTCTTTTTGAAGTATAACATCCAAATATGAAACAGATGTGTGCAACTCTTTTATTTCAAGCTCACCAGGATAAATCATATCGGCATAAGAATAGAAATAACCATTGTTAATTGACAATTTACGTCGTCGATATATCTAAATGTCAAGTTGAAGGCCACAGCAAGTACTTTCTTATTTTGAAGCATAAGATTTTGCAGATATTCTGTTTCATATGCAGCACTGTTAAGGCTTACTATGAGAAATCAACGGAAAATACAAGTGCAAAAATGGGAATTGTTCTTAAAACTTAATTTATTTTTATTCAGCTGTTCTATTATCACAGAACTTAAATACTTATGGAAATAGCATAGTATAATCTACTCTGTACTGTATGCAGTTTGGTCCCATCGATGGACAGTCACGTGATGAATGCATAGTAGGTACACGGAATGTAGGTCAATAACAAATTTCAATATCGCAAGGGCATACCCTAGTTGAAATTAAAAATTCAAACTGTTAATTGTTTCTGCATACTTTGTACTTTCTGGAAAATGCTGCTGCTTTGAATAGAATTCGCGTTTTGATAGTTATAATTTCCAGTAAATAGGCTGATGTCGAAATATGTTTGCCTTTTACCAAATATTTTGTGTACTTATGAAGTCATGCTCGCGATTTAAAGAAAGCAGCAGCATTTTTCAAGTTATCCTTTATTTATATTCAAAAAATGGTTCAGATTATTTAGTGTATGCCCTTGCGAAAAGACATTCGCAATTCAACAGTACAGTGAGTTTATTTCGACTCGAACATAAACGAGCCTTTACATGTAATACATCAAATTTGATAGATAATATGTTGTATTTAGATGAATAAGGGCTGAAAATAAGGGTAAGACCTAGAAATTAACAAAAATGCTACACATATTGAAATTATACATGCATAGTATGCTAACGCATATTATCGGTGTTTAGATTTTATTTTAACAAGTGCTTGAACTACATAAATTTTATTTAAAGTAGAAAAGGCCTACATGTAGTTACACATATATAATTGTGTACCTTGATTTGAAAAACAATTTGATAGTTATGTTTTGTTTCGACAGGCTTCATTTTGATTTCGTTTCAGTAGGTTTCATTTTGATTTCGTTTTGTTTCGATAAGTTTTGGTAGATTTCGTTTCGTTTCAGTTTGTTTCGATTCGTTTCTATTTCGTTTTGCACTTTACAGGTGCCTTAAAACAGAAGACATTGAATCGAAAAAAAAAATATACCTTCAAATATATCTCTAATAGAAACCTTACATTCTTTCAATATTTTGTTAGAGCTATACAGTAATATGTAAGAGTATTGTAGCGAGGTGAGTGAAGAGAAGGAATCAGTGAGTAAAAAATCCACAATGATTATATGAATTTATTTTTATTTGAAAATTGAAATGTGAAAATAAAAAAAAAATATTGTAAAGAATTGAACAAAGGTGTACTCACAATTTGATCTGATTTAGAATTGATTGTAGGCTTTATATTTTTCTTGTTTTCAAAAGATTTTATTTTTAATTTGACATCTGATATCAGGAAGCTTCCTATGCTATACGTGTATTTATATTTAAGTGTATGTTGTATTATATTTCAAATAAAAGTGGTGAAAAGTAATATTTCCCCCTAATTTTTTAGTTAAAACTTTCTTCATTATGAAAATAATTTTATATGATAAATGTTTTACATAAGGTTTTTACGTTGCGCAATAGCATATATAGGAGAGCGATAAAGGAAACGTATACATGTAAGTACTTTCATTTAGAAAGAGTTGTTTTAAAACCTTTAATTTTATATTGGTTTTTATGGAAATTTGTAATAATAGTCGCTGTATCTGATATACAAAAGAAGGGAAAGTAATTTAATTACCAATAAAGAAAGTGCACCACAGAGTCTGTCACATCTACTTCATATTTGGATGTTCTACTGATTAAAGAAAAAGATCAATAATCAACTACATTGTATGTTAAATGAGATGACTGAAGGTTTTCCTGTGTCAACATTCTTTATTTATGTAGCTATATAAGCTATCACATGCAAGTTGTGTTTATGTGTCCAATTATATTTTCTTTTCAAGAGTATACTCGGAGATCAATCATTTTTAAACCTAGGCAAGCTACTTACACATAAGTTGAACATAAAGATATTTCAACAAACACATTAGCATTTAGAAAATACGTGGTCGTTATAAGATGTTAGCAAGTATGTCTGTCCTTGTATATCCTTACATCTCGTGGCTCAGGGAAGAACCCTGAAAATTTTGGAGTCCGATGGTTATTAGATAAAAGTTTCCTATAGTAGTATTCATATAATAACTTGATTTTAAAGCATTTAAATTTAGTATGATGAATCTTTTCAAATGATGAGAGTCTCTTGTAGATAATGACTTCACACGGTGCACTAAATTAAAATGATCGATCGTTTAATTCTTGGGTGCATTCAACCCTTTCAAGTCTAAAGTTACATACAATGTAAATTCACTAAATAAGCATGCTAACTTTTATCTTCTTGGATTTTAAACTATATTGTTAAGATTCATTCATTATTGAAAAACAATATAAGCACTTATTTTTTATTTAGTAACACTGTCATATCAGATACGTGTTCTATAAGTGCTTGAAGTGATGTGTTGTCCTCTCCCTTTGCTTGTAGATTGTAAAATATATAACAGACGTCAATAGAAACTACGTATGAATTGTAAAAACTGCAAATAAGACTGTTAATGGAGTCTTGGTAAATCTCTCTCTCTCTCTCTCTCTCTCTCTCTCTCTCTCTCTCTCTCTCTCTCTCTCTCTCTCTGAGACAAGAAAATCAGCTCTGCATAAAATATATATTTTTCAAAAAAATGAAACTACAGGAATTAAAATATAAGAAAGAGTTTATAGTTAAAGAAATTTGTTTTGCCTATCAATTATCATATCACATTTTCCATTCTGTCAAGTCATTTATTTTCTAGGGTTGCAATTGTTACATGTATCATATCCCTTATTGTCATTGTGGCGTGTGGAATACTGGTTGTCTTCATCAAAGCTTGTTGTGAAATGTATGGTCGCGACAGAGGAACGCAGACAAGGTCATACCAAAGTAGTATGTTGT